AAGGCACTCGACCGAGGAATGCCGCGCAGCACTCCGCAACAAGGAGGAAAAAAAAGAGAACGGAGAGAATGCGGAAGAGGAAGAAGCTCCAACGACCCCAAAGGTCATAGGAAAGGCCAAAGAGAGCAGGGAAGCCAAGCCCAAATCGCCAGAATCCCCACCTCTAGCTCAATAAAAAAAAGGGTTGACAATGATCCCATGGGAATCCGAACATAAAAGACACTAAATCAAGCTGCATGACAAATAAACGCCGACGTCACGGTGACAATCCGAGATTCAGAGAAACACGATAAGACTCATTCTCCTCCTCTCAACCGAACAAACATATACCACTAAAGACTGGAACATGACAACAAATTTAACAGGATCGACAGCTGATGTAAAAACTGATACATAATAAAAAGCACAGTCCGCGTTTGCTCAAACCCAACCTGTCCAAAAGGCAAGGGCGCCACCAGCCGACTCTAACCAAAAAATGGTTTTCCCTGCACTTCGTCAGAATAAAAAAAGAAAGAAAAAGAATCGACTTCATCTACGGAGGATCAAAATTTTGCAACTTAGTCAACTCCATCAAAGCGCACCAACGAAGAGCAGAAAGTAGCATCGGCATACACGAACCTCTATCGGGCCCCGATCACGAAATCACTTTCGACGCACTCGTTATACGACTCGATGTCGGAGGATGCAAGCTATCCAGGATCATGATCGACACCGGAATCTCTGCAGATGTACTATTTTACGACGCGTTCAAAAGGATGGGATTCACCAAAACCCTCCTCAAACAAGAGAGAATCCCACTAGTCGGATTCGCAGGAGAGACCACATATTCCCTCGTCATAAGAAAGATCGTCAAATTCATCGTCATAGACCAACCTTCTCCGTTTAACGCTATCATCGGGAAACCATGGCTATACAACATGAAGGCAGTACCATCAATCTATCACCAATGCCTGAAATTCCCTACGCCAAAAGGAATTGAAACTATAAGGGGGAGCCAAAAGAACTCCAAAACCTGCGATCTCGTGAGCTTCGAAGTCATCGAGCCATATCCATAAGACCGACCAAGAGATCTCAAGAAAACCAAGAACCGTACTCGCGTACACGAGCAAATCGAAAAACACGACCCTGATTACTGGGGAAAAAATCAAACTACATTTAGACTTGATCCCTCGACGAGGATACGTAGACAGCTCACGACATGAGTTCAGTCACTCATCACAAACTAAATTCCCCCACGAAGGGATCAAATCCGGGCTAAAAGCAATATTCACATCGATACAGTTTTCTTCTTTCATGTAAAATGCGAAGTTGTATACAAAGAATCATTTGATAACTAAAATAAATTCTCATTTCCATAACTCGATTTAACTGCATGAAGAGACCATGATCAAGTCTTCAGAAAAAGTTAGGATCCTGCCAAAACACGGTGCCTCACAATAGTAAAATCACAACTCATCCATACGAAATTTATCGAAATCGATCTACGACCCCAAAACAGAAACGGTCGCAATTTCGTCTTAACTAAATGCCGCATAAACAAATCAAAAACCGTGATTCTTTATTAATTCGACAGAAAAGAAAAAGAACATCAAAAGATAAAAACCACAAGAAGAAAACATAAGAACAATGAAAATTAATCATCAATATTGAACTCGCCATTTTCATAATGATTCTCATTACGCCCTTGCTCGCCACTAGATTCATCTCCACCAGGAGGATTAAAGAAAGTATTACCTGATCGAATCTCGGAAACACAATCTGCTTTTGTGGTTGGAAGACAGATCATGATAACATTATGATTGTGCAAAAGATGTTCCACACTCTTCGAACGAAAAGAGGATGGCGATAAAGAGTGATATGAGTAAAGCGTATGACAGTATGGAATGAATTTTATCCAACGAGCTTTGGAAAAGATGGGTTTCTCTGAGATCTGGATCAAATGGATCATGCGATGTGTCACTACAGTCAAATATCAAGTTTTCATGAATGGTCAGCCGAGAGGAAATATTGTACCACATAGAGGATTGTGCCAAGGAGATCTTTTGTCTCCTTTCATTTTTATTTTATGCACGGAAGCGCTCATTAACCTTCTTAATCGCACAGAGAATCAAGGAAAGATACGCGGGATGTGCGTAGCACGTGCGAGCCCCTCGGTGTCCCACTTGTTATTTGCTGATGATAGCCTTTTTCTTTTATAAGGCAGAACCCCATGAATCTGATGAAGTGATGAAAGTATTTAAAGTCTATGGAAAGGCGTCTGGCAAGTGTATAAATATTGATAAATCATCTCTCCCTTTTGAAAAAAGAAACCAAGATGACTTGAAGCAACAAATTAAAGATACTTTGGGATTAAGAATGAAGGAGGAATGGGTAAATACCTTGGTATTTCAGAAGACATAAGTGGTTCGAAATGCAAGCTCTTTTCTTTTCGAAGGGATAAGCTGGATCATAGGATCAAAGGATGGTCTGGCAGATGGCTGACTAAGGCTGGAAAGGAAGTTCTGATCAAAGCGATTGCACTGGCTCTTCCAACTTATGTTATGTCAAGCTGGATTCTTTAATCTGATAACTCTGGAAAGCCAAAAATGATAAGTTGTTTAGGGGAATTACAAGGGATACGCTTGAACTTGTATGATATGCTGAAAGTTAATGCAATGCATGGTTTTAGACAAATGCACCAACTATGGAGACAATACCCCATCAACCTCAGAATACTCAAGCCATATGCTTACAGAATGTATGCCTGATTGATAGATCACGGACGGGGGAATCGCCTTTTAGTGGGTATGATTGGGTATGTATTGATGGATCTGGAAATGAGCAGCTCATGGAGTTGAAAAACATTGAATGCGACTATCTCTGATACACTCGGAGTTGGGAGCTCTCACATGGCCAATGGAAAACATGTTTCAATACAACGAGTGATATATGGTGTTTTTAGCATATTCTAACAATGTTTTCTAAAGTGTTTTTGAGTCTTTATCGAGTCTTTTTAGTCCTTTTTAAGTCATTACAGGTATGGAGTTGCTTTGGATGGAAGATGGACCAGTTGGAGAAAAAGATTGCAATTTGATGATTTTCATGAAGAACAGTCTGCAAAATGTTCCCGAGTGAGCGGAGCAGCCTGAAGCGCCTGTTCCCGCGGCAGAGATTTTAAGGAAATCTTAACTTATTTCGGGATTTGCCCTAATTCTCCTATTTTTCTCTCCCAGCCGCCAGCAGCCTCCATATATCTTCTTTTCCTATTTTCTACATTATTCGACGCTACTTTTTACAGAGAAACAACTCTAGAGCTTTTGGATTTCATACTTTGTAACTTTGAGGGAGAAGGATCTCTACAACCTTTGGAGAAGATTTCTAAACCCTCTTACTTATTATTTATTGATTCAGACATGTTTTCTTCATCTATTGACTCTGTGATTTCTCTGTCTATGGCTGAGTAGTCGCTTGTTAGGTTTAGGGTGTTAGGGATCATGGATCAATGAGCTAGACACAAATAGGATTGTTATTCTTTGATATCTCTATCTATTGCTATACTTACTGCTTGTGTTAAACTGGCCATTCAACATCTGATAT